CAACACCTTTTTGAAGGGGTGCTATTTATGTCATCAGAATGTTGCTCAGGCAAAAGTGCACACAGGCAAAAGAGGTAGAAGATACTTAGAGAAGCAAAGACATTTTCAACCAGAAAAAGTAGGTATATTGAATTGGTGTTTGCAGAAATTGAGACAATTAAACAGAATTATTAATCAATTAACCAAATTATAACTAGGCTAGGAAATACAAGATGATTTCAAAGGAAATCATTTCAAATAAGTCATTATCTTGCTTTGGAATCATCATCTGGCATTATCATCTTGCATTTGGTTCCACAACAGACGAAGAAGGTCATTATTTTGACAGAAGAGATAGAGGCAGTTACGCTTTTTGTGTCGAGGAGACAAGCAATGCCACATCTCCTGGAGTGTCAGTGAGCTCTTCAGCCTGCAGGACTCCATCTGGAGGGCTGGAGGTCTCAATGCAGCGAGGACAGCCATGGCATTATCATCCCATACACTGTGAGTTTTAGTCAAGAGTTCAATGGCAGTCACTTCTAAGGTCTGCTCTGGGCTCCAGGGCCCAATCTCCTTCCCAGGCAGGCTATGTGTATTCCTAGGTGTAAGCTGTCAGGCTAGGTTTTGGTGGGTAGCCCATGTAGGTAAAAGCACCCCCCACAAAAGGTTCTACCACTAGAGGAGGAGCTGATGTCTGAGTAACCTTAAGAGTATTTTGCTGTGCTATGCTTAACTCATCAAAATAACTGATTTTTTTTTTTTAAAGGATTGTGTGTGTGTGTGAGGAGGTTGATCAGAACAGACATGCTGGTTAGGGTAGTTGGGAACAGTTTAGAAACTGATTTTAATCCTTTATAAAAGTGCTGTCTAGAACAGATGAAATATGCATGGTGGGGGAAGGTAGAGAGCATAGAGAGAGAGGAGGAGAGGAGGGGGAGGATGAGTTTGAGGGAGGGCAGGACAGGAAGTCGCTCCCACTGGATCTGCACCATGATGGATGAAGCCTCATCAGACCTCTTTTATCTCTCCTTTTGCTTTCTCTGGTGTCAGGAGTGGAGAAACTATTTGCCTTGAGATCTCCTGAAACAATAGAGGGGCAATGAGGACCACATCAACAAAGCATCTTCTTCTTCTTTTTTTTTTTTTTTTTTTTCAGACAGAGTCTCGCTGTGTTGCCCAGGTTAGAGTGCAGTGGCACGATCTCGGCTCACTGCAAGCTTTGCCTCCCGGGTTCATGCCATTGTCCTGCCTCAGCCTCCCGAGTAGCTGGGACTACAGGTGCCCACCACCACACCTGGCTAATTTTTGTATTTTTAGTAGAGACAGGGTTTCAACGTGTTAGCCAGGATGGTCTCGATCTCCTAACCTCGTGATCCGACCGCCTTGGCCTCCCAAAGTGCTGGGATTAAGCATCATTCTTTTAAGGGAGTATAAAATGCCCTATTCTCTTTTTGAATTAGTAAGGGGAACATAAAACTCAAATAAATGGGTGCAAAAATTATTTTAAAGATCCACCCGGTTTTATGTTATTGCTAGTAAAAAGAGGCAGTTGAGAGGAGAGAAGAGAGGTAGAGAGACAGCCAACAGGCAGTGAGATTCACAGAAGGAGCAAAGAAGAGATAAAAATGAAAGCTCTGCACACAGAAAGTCATACATGGGAAAGCAGACATGTGGTGGCTTAGGGACAGCCACACACAGGTACCCCCAAAGACACACACACACACACACACACACACACACACACACACACACACATCCCACATAATGCATCGTAATACATATTGACTTGAATCAGTATCTTTCTTTGATCATCATTCCATTTTCCATAGACACAACGAGGATGCAATGTCCTTATCCATGCCCCTAGGATGGAGAAAATAAGTTGAGGTGAAGCTGGGTTTTATGCAGAATGTGGACTGCAGGCCACTGAGGAAGGTTCTGTCTTAGCTACATAGTCACGCCTCATGAAAAAACTCTTCGGGGTCTCCCTGACCCCTGAAAATGATCCCTGGGGTCATAGGGGTTGTATTCCAATGAAGGCAATGGGATGTACTTTTGTGCATTTTTCTATAAGATGGGAGAGGATTTCTTAGAGAAAAGGAAGATCAATGCCCCTGCCAAAAGGCAGCGGAGGCTTGCTGGTACCATGCATGTGTGGGTGAGGCATACTTTCCTCTGTGCTATGAGCCCACGGACACGCTTTTTACCATCATTGCTCCTAGTGAAGAACTCTGACTATTCACAGGACTCACTCAATATAAGAATCACTCATCATGGAGGCTCAACTAATGAGCTGATAAGCTTATTTATTATACTCGAAACATTAAAAAAGACAACCTTCATGTTTCTATTTGATTTATTCAAACTTGAATGAACTGTGGTCTCATTCATTTAGAATATTAGAAAAACCACCAAAATGTCCTTCTGACTATTTCTTTTTATTTGGGTGATTTTCACTAAGCCCTGGGAATTTAGGTTCTATGGTTTAATTTCCCACTTCCTAGGTAGTAGTAGATAATAGGTGGAATGCTGAGTATTGACTGTATGCATCCCTCCTGGATATTTGGTGTTTAGTGTGGGGAGGGTAGCAATAAAAAGTACAGAAATGAAGGAAACTGGGAGTGATAGCTCCTGCCTGTAATCCTGGTACTTCAGGAGGCCGAGGTAGGAGGATCACTTGAGTTCAGGAGTTCAAGACCAGCCTAGGCAACAAGGCCCTGGTCTCTACATTAAAGGAAAGAAAATTAGCATGGTGGCATGTGCCAGTAGTCCCAGCTACTCCGGAGGCTGAGGTTGAGGGTGTAATAGTTGTGATTGTGCCACTGCACTCCAGACTGGGTGACAGACTGAGACCTTGTCTCAAAAAGATTAAAAAAAAAAAAAAAAAAAAAGAAAACCCACAATAAAAAACAAACAAACAAAAAAGAAATGAAAGTCCTCGAGAAAATGATTTTTAATTGAGAGGCCTTTCAGAGAAGGAATACAAGATAGTATTGTAATTTAGTGTTAGAATCAAAGAAGTTTAGGGCTGCGTGTGAACTTGGTAATTTTCCAGTCCAAATTTTATAGATGTTTCCTAATCTATAAAATGAAGCAAATTTACTGGATAATAATAATTAACATCATTAATAATTATATGTAATAATTATTCATTATAATTGTCAATTTTAATACGTATAACTATAATTAATTTTAATGATCAATTAATTAATAATATTATTAATTATCTGGTCAGCTTGCTTCATTTTGTAGATTAGGAAACAAAAACTCAGAGGACAAGTGAAAGCCTGTTATGGACAGTTAGTGGTAGACCTCCTGACTCATGATCCAGGACCACCCCACCATACTTCTTCCCATTTTCAACAGAAGAACAAAGTTTTCTAAGCAATACACCCATCAGGTAATATGAGTAATATAGCCAACCTACCCTCTGAGTACAGAGAGACTTAATATCTTCCAAGCAAGTGTTACAGGTGTGAGCCTCTGTGGCTAGCCAGAAATGTTAATTTAAGGTTTTTTCTTTCTTTCTGTTTTTAAGACAGAGTCTTGCTTTGTTGCCCAGGCTGGAGTGCAGTGGTGTGATCTCAGCTCACTGGAACCTCCACTTCCTGGGTTCAAATTATTCTTGTGCCTTAGCCTCCCGAGTAGCTGGGATTACAGGTGTTTGCCACCTTGCCTGGTTAATTTTTTGTATTTCTAGTAGAGATGGGGGTTTCACCATGTTGGCCAGGCTGGTCTTGAACTTCTGACCTCAAGTGATCTGCCCGCCTCGGCCTCCCAATATGCTGAGATTACAGGCATGAGCCACCACGCTTGGCCCCGAAATTGTTAATTTTATAATATAAAAGAAATTCGGGTTTCTAATCTGCCATATAGGTGAAAACCCTCAGGATTTCAGGACCAGGGTTCTGTTGACTGAAATGCACTTTAAACACCTCAGCTGGCCTTGAAGGTTAGTTAAGTTCCCTGTTTTCACAATCTCACCAATTTAACACTGCCATCCTGTCCTCCCTCTGGGGTGACAGGTGGCTAAAACCACATTTAGATTTTCCTCTGGGGGGAAATTTCTCTCTCCTTGATGGTCTCACTGTTCTGTGTCTCACAGCCTACTAGGAACCTGCAGGGAGCTCCCCTTGGGAGTGTCTCTTCTCTGCCTACCTGCTTTCATCTACTCTGGGGTCAGAATATTCTCTTTCTTTAAGAATTCATTCCCTGGTGGAAATGTAAGCATGCTAGAATTTAGTCTGGGCTCTTACAGCATTGTTTCTGTTTTTGCTTTAGCCATTATTGAAAGTGATTTTTTAAAAAATGAAATGGGTCCTGGTACTTACTACATTATTTTGGTTAAAAAGTTGAAGCAATGTTTCTCTGTACTTGCACATTCCAACACAGCAGTCCCTAGACACATGTGGCTATTTAAATTAAAATAAGACACAATTAAAAATTCAGTTCCTCAATTTCACTAGACACATTTCAAGCACTCAAAAGGGTATGAAATTGGACAGAGCAGATATAGAACATTTCCATCACTGTTTTGCAAGACAGTGCTGCTCTATAACACTTACTACGCTTTAGTCAAATTTGAAAGCAAGCTGTGTACTTTGTTCTACAAGTCAGATTCTGGAAAAGATACAATGAAACATAAATATGTCAGCTACAGTCAAAACTCATCGGTAAAATAATAAACAATACAGTTGGAATTCTGGGTGTCTTTATGTTCAAGTCAGCCACACACAGCCTTATCACTTAATTTAGATTCTAATAAAGTCAGACTTCATTTAAATGAAGAACTGACTTTCACTACAATGGTAGTTCTTCTCAATGGAGGTGTATATGTAGGGTTAGAAGCAGAGGTGGAAGTACACAGCAAAATGTATCAGAAACACCTGAGAACTTGCACAGAACTAGCCGTTTCCACCCTCCCTAGATAGGATTGGATTTAGTTAGAGGGGCAGGTGCGAAACAAAGGGCCTCTGTCTTTTGATAAAGTTTCTCAGATGGTTTTCATGTGTTTTTCCCAGCTGCATCCCTCCAGTTGAGAACCAAAAGGATGGCTAATTACAGAATGGCAAGGGTCATTGGGGTAAGTTATATCCATAAGTCCTTATGTAGGTTAAGCTCTGATTACTGGGACTGATTTCATGAGCAATTCTGTACTAAGTCTGAGTGGGTAAGACCTCTGGTTCACAAGGTTATGTTGTTTCTTAATATAACATGGTTATACTGTTTCTCAAGGTTATATTGAAGGCATGCTAGCATCAAACATGTATTCGTTTAAGAATCACTTATTGACTGTCTAATAATGTCTATCAAACACTGTGATAAGTATTGTGGAATATGGTCAAATAAGTAAGCAATGGCACTGGAATGTGGCAGCTAAATTCCTGTGTGGGCTTTGAGTTAGACTGAGTTTAAAATTGGTACTTTCTATAGGGTTCAGTGTATACTGCTCAGGTGATGGGTGCACGAAAATCTCACAAATCACCACTAAAGAACTTACTCATGTAACCAAACACCACCTGTTCCCTAATAACCTATGGACATAAAAATAAAAAAAATAAATTTGGTGCTTTTTAGCTGTGTGTCCTCAGGCAAACTACTCAACCTCCTCAAGGCTCAGTTTCTTGCATTAAATTGGGAATACTGTTAGCACTTACTTTATGGGATTATTAATGAGGATTGAATAATATAAAATACACAGGGAAGATTTAGTACAATTTAGTGACTACAGCATTAAAGAGTATATAGTTTAGTGCGGAAGATAAACCTACTTAAGCTACACTCCTCCTCACTGCAGATGGCTGGTTCAATTGATAACGAAAAGGTGCTAAAGAAGTCAAAGGTATAGGTTTAATCCCTGTGTGGTCCAGTCAGCTCTAGGGTAGATCAGATGTCTCTGCTCTTAGCCCGGCCATTCCACAAATGTGGCCAGTAGGGAATCAGGGTAATGGCACATGGACAATCAAACATGAGAGCTGAGATGATCCAGGATGAAGTCATCCAAGTTCCTTCCTTTAGAGACAAGTAGACTAAGTTACAGAATTGAAGTACCTTGCCAAACTTTAAACACGACTCACCAGTGGCATACCTGAAGCCAGATCTCAGGCTTTCTGATTCCCTGCCCAATGTTCATTGTGCACACATTGAATATTTCCTAATGGAACAGAGATCTTCATCACCATGAAATATTATAAAAGATCCCCATCTTACTATTATCTGGCCGTGGGGTTATTTTCAAACACATTTTCATTAGCTTCAGAACCCAGACACAAGACTGGGTGCAATTTTCATTTGTTGTCAGAGATAAATTGACATCCTACAAGCCATAGCTCCTAGGAGCAACTCTATGTAGACTAACAAACTATAATAGTCAAATATTCTTGAGATCCAGTTTGTTGTACACCCCAAAAGTTAACCTGGCTCATCTCTGCTCAGCAGGGGTAAATCCTTCAGCTCTGGAATATCAGAATGGGTAGCAGAGCATAATGAACTTATAAAAAACAGAGGGCCAGAATGTAGGACCCAACCTTCATGGTGCCATAGCCCTGAAATGATCTTTCTTGGACTTTAGTTCTCAGGGCAGATGGTCAACTTTTGCTTCCATCACTTCTTTCATCCTGTTACTTTCTAAGAGCACAAATGGTGAAAGAACGGTAGGCTTTTTAAATGAGAGTGTGATGGCATCTTGGTAGTTCTTCCTGCATGGCTGTGTGGGCTAGCTTCTTCCAAAGACAATAAGTGCCTCAGCATATGGGGCCAGCATCCCCAGTGACAATAGAAGAAAGCAACAAGACAGCCACGGAGTACCTTTAAAAATGTAAATCAGATGTCCCTCCCTGTTCACAAGCCTCCGGTGGCTCCTATCACAGTTAGAGTAAAATCCAAGCTCCTTTCCCTGACATATATGGCCTATAGGATTGGGCTTTTGTCTACCTCTCCAGCTCTATTTCACACAACTCTCTACTGACCAGGCAATTTGGTCTCCTTCCTGATTCTCCCTCCCATCTTAGGATCATTGCACGTGCTCTTCACTTCTCCTAGAAATCTTTCTTATCGTTGTGGTCAGTTTCTCTGCACGCCAGCTTAAATATCAGATCCTCAGAGGCCTTCCCTGAACATACAACCGAGGGTAACTACTTGGTCATTATTTAGCATACTACCCAGGATAAATTCTCTGCATAGCACTTTATGCTTTCTAATATTTTCTTGCCCTTTACGTTTATTTATTTTCTTTCTCCTCCCATTCGGGGCAAGGGGAGGGAGAGCATTAGGACAAATACCTAATGCATGCAGGGCTTAAAACCTAGGTGACAGGGTGATAGGTGCAGCAAACCATACATAGGTAACAAACCTGCATGTTCTGTACATGTATCCCAGAACTTAAAGTAAAATTAAAAAAAAAATAATTTAACATGTAGATCAACATGAAACAATGGTCAAATACATCATGTGAAGTGAGCCATTTTCAGTATGAAGAATTTGATACAATTTTTATAAAAACAGATTCTATGTGCATTTAAATATATTTGCATTCATAGAGAATACATTATGAGTGGCTTCATCTCAAAAAAAAAAAAAGAAAGTTCTGGAGAACAAGAATTTTGTCTACTTAGTTTGCCATCTCCTAGCACATAGTAGGTGCTCAATAAATATTTACTGAGTGAAATGAATAGATGAAGGAGTGACTGCCACTCCAGGATCACAGCTCATCTAAGCTTACCTTCTTGCTGGTGCTGTTGTGCCTACAGAGAATCTCCTGCCTGCCTAGATGCAAAGTGTGGGGCTCCATGAAGAGCAAACCTAAAAATCACTTTGACTAGAAGACCACACAACAAATGTTGGTTGATGGAGCGACATTTAAGGAGCACTTACTCTGTGCCTCATACTAAGCTCTTTATGAGAATTAACTCATTTGGTCTCAACAAACCAATCAGGTAGTCAGTATTCTCATTCTCATTAGTGAGGATTAGTAAACTGAGGTTTGAATGATAAAATGTATCACCCAAGGCTACACAGCTGGTAAATTGAAGTGTCAAGACTTGAACTCAGGACATCTGACTCCAGAGACCACACTGGAGGTTGGAAAATTCACAGCAGAACCTATACTGGTGAAGAGAATGCAAGGAAGAAAGAATGACAAAAAGAAAATGTGAATTTACAATTGTTTAATGAATATAAATCAGGCTGATAATGATCTCCCACCTGCACCAAAATAAAAGGCACCTCTCTCTACCTATCCAAGGTTACCATGGACCTAAGTGATTAGAGAACAACTGAGATGAACAAACTTCTCAGTGCTATAGAGTACTATTAAAGGAATCCCTTGGGCATGTTCCACTGAAACCATCATGAAGCTGAAGCAGCCCTCTCTGCCTGCAGGACCTGCTCGGGCCATGCGGATTGGATTGTGCACATGTGTGTGTAAATGACAAGTCAATAGAAAGTTGGAAGTTGATGAGTTGGCTTTGGGCGTATGTCTTCCTTCCGTCCACCTCCCATCCCTCCTTTGTATGTGTTTGTCTCCACTTGACAAGGGCAACTGCCACACTTCAGCAGCTGAACTTGCCATCTTGGTCCCTTCTGCTCAACTAGACTGCACTGACATAAATGGGTGATTTCAATAAGCAAATGATGCTTCAGAATATTTAAGGTCAGAAGGCAAAAGCACTGGTGATGTATGAGGGCAGCTATGAGACACAGAAGGGAGTGAGGTGAGGATTCAGGAAGAGTGTGAGGCTGAAAGCCAAGGAAGTCCTCTTGAGGACTCAGTTATTTATTTATTTATTTTTTGAGACAGAGTCTGGAGTGCAGTGGCATGATCTCGGCTCACTCCAACTGTGGTGGTTAATACTGAGTGTCAACTTGATTGGATTGAAGGATGCAAAATATTGATCCTGGGTGTGTCTGTGAGGGTGCTGCCAAAGGAGATTAAGATTTGAGTCAGGGGGCTGGGGAAGGCAAACCCACCCTTAATCTGGTGGGCACAATCTAATCAGCTGCCAGCATATATAAAGCAGGCAGAAAAACGTGAAAAGAGAGACTGGCCTAGTCTCCCAGCCTACATTTTTCTCCCGTGGTAGATGCTTCCTGCCCTCAAACATCGGACTCCAAATTCTTCAGTTTTGAGACTCAGACTGGGTCTTCTTACTCCTCAAGCTTGCAGACAGCCTATTGTGGGAATTTGTGATCATGTAAGTTAATGCTTAATAAACTCCCATATATATATCCTATTAGTTCTGTCCCTCTAGAGAACCCTGACTAATACACCAACCTCTGCCTCCCAGGTTCAAGCGATTCTCCCTGTGTCAGCCTCCCGAGGAGCTGAGACTACAGGCACGTGCCACCACGCCTGGCTAATTTTTGTATTTTTAGTAGAGACAGGGTTTCACCATGTTGGCCAGGCTGGTCTCGAACTCCTGACCTCAGGTGATCCACCCGCCTCGGCCTCCCAAAGTGCTGGGATTACAGGAGTGAGCCACCGTACCCAGCTGAGGACTGAGTTATTCTAACCATCTGGTTTGACCTTTACATCAAGCAGAAAAAAAAAAAAAAAAAATTATCAAACAGAGAGAAGAGAGATCCTAAGACAAGGTGGTGAGCCATGGCAGGGAAAGAGCTATTTGAAGTGGATGAAGGAGTAGTCTCAACGAGAAACAACAGAATGAAAGAAATGCTTTAGGACTCAATTTGCTAGGTTAAATATGCTTTACAGGAGTATTATGCGATGACGCATTTGGACAGAATGAACACTTGTTATGAAAAAAATCTCGGCCGGGCGCGGTGGCTCAAGCCTGTAATCCCAGCACTTTGGGAGGCCGAGACGGGCGGATCACGAGGTCAGGAGATCGAGACCATCCTGGCTAACATGGTGAAACCCTGTCTCTACTAAAAAAAAAAAAATACAAAAAACTAGCCGGGCGAGGTGGCGGGCGCCTGTAGTCCCAGCTACTCGGGAGGCTGAGGCAGGAGAATGGCGTGAACCCGGGAGGCGGAGCTTGCAGTGAGCTGAGATCAGGCCACTGCACTCCAGTCTGGGTGACAGAGCGA